TAGCCGGGTATGCTTGCCGCGTTTTGCCACCTATGCTGCTAGAGGCACGTGTCTTTCCTCCAATAGTGCTGGAGAGGACACTCCCAGCAACCGAACCAACGTCATTCCTGAGTTCCGCGCGTGAAGGGCCGCTGCCACGAAATCCTGAGGGAGTGACTTTGGCAGCCTTGGCCGCGAAACTACCTGCATCCATGCTGTGGGTGCATCTCAGAAACTGGTAATGTTGGCTGCAGTACCAGAGGCTGATCTGCTTGCCCGCCCCGTCGGGATTGAAAACATGAAAATCATACGACCCCGCACTTGATGGCCTAATCACCAGAATCGGCCTGTCCATCGTGATTGAAAGGGCTTCTAATTCAGTGTATCCCCCCCAAGAACCTTCCTTCGAAAGCATGTCGAGATATTCCTCAAAGCTACCCGAAGCTAGCGACTTGTCCTCACCCGAAGGCTCTTTGCCGTCCCAGTAACTGCGAAAGGTGCTAATGTGCCGCCTCATATGCGCAATACAGGTAGCTCTGATGTGGGCGTGTGTTCTGGTTTTTCCCTCCGCTTCAAGGGCCTGTGCTATGGCCCAGAAGAGGCAATTACCTCCACCGGCGTTGCGCAGTGGCTGGAAGCCGTCAGGTGGCCCCACCTTAGCGCGTTTGGAGGCCTCAGCGGAAGCTGCCTGCGCTTCTCTCTTGTCGCCTGCCTGCTTGGCAGCGTCAACGTCCATACTTTCAGGAGCCATTTCCCCGTCAGGCGCGGCTGGCTGATGGGGATGCTTAGCTTTGTCCCCCTTCCTGAGAGTCGGCTCCGTTGCAAAACTAGTGCGCACTTCGGCAGGCAGTGGTGTGACGTGCTGGCGCGATCCAATTCCCCGGCGTCGCTGGAGCTCAATCGTGATGAGCTCTCCGGTGTGATCCTCGACTTCAAGCAGATCACCGTCATCCGCCTTGATCGCGCGGAAACTCCATCCCGCCCGAGCCTTGTGACGAAATTTCTCGATAATCTCAATCTCAGTAAATTTCAAGTCCTGCAGGAGCTTTTCTACATCCTGAAAATCGTAATCACGTGGGATGTTCTTAGCAGCCCATTTTCGCGGCTGCTGACGCCTCTTCTCCGC